TGCCTTTCACGGCAAGTATGGGTTCCTGAAGACCTATATTTCTACCCGGGTCACGAATGCTTTAACCACTAGGCCATCTCACAACCCTTAAGGAATAAGAACTCCCAAAGTTTGTTTGCCTATCCACAATGAAGACACTGACATTGGCATAAGCCTGGTTCCTATGTGCACTACTTCTAAACACTTATCAAATATTGGTTCTGTATGGTAAGTGGCAGAGATTAAACTGAGAGGTCACAACAGGGTTAAAACCAATGTGATACACAAGTTCACACTTATACTCCTCTTTAAAGTGCCAAATCACTCCCCCAAACATTTATAAAAGTCCAAGTGACTGGAAGCAACAATAACATTCTAAATAGGACCACTGTCATGACATTGACATAGGCATTTAAGATTGGATTGGATGTCTGTGAGCAAGTTTCCATGACAGCAATGTTTAAATGTGGATCAGGACTACAGATCAAGTTTAGCAAGTTGATATTTACTCCCCTTTGTTTCCTGTATACAACCCACATTCTTTCGTGAACATTTGTCACAATTTCTTACAAACGCCATATTATAACACATTTTTGCTCTGTGTTGGGTTGTCAGTAAATCAATCAGTTTAACTTCAAATTTCAAAACTGTAAAGTTCAATGTTAACAGCAAAATCATTGTTTGCGGACATAATGTAAGTTTTCTTTTGTTGTACTGCTGATCATGCTGATGTTAAGAATAAAACATTTAGGAGCTTCCTAGATTAGAATTCTGTCACCAGAAAACCTCAAAGACCCCTGGACCCTGCTTAATTACTGTACAAACATTATGTAACAAATGTTTTATTTGGGATAACACTTTCTTAGTAAAGTACAGATTCTCATACTTTTTTGGGTTGAGTCCCGTCCGGGATTCGAACCCACAGTGTACAAACACTGCTGGCAATAAGCCCATATTACATTCAGTTATAAATAGAAACAGCTTTTGATGCAATAGTGACTTTAAACAATTCATACTACATATGTTATACAACACTAAACTTAGTGCAATAATATCATTCAACATTACAAGAGAAAGCCTTACATCAGCAGTATATATACAATACAGCCTAGCTGTGGTATATATAGAACCAGCTGATCCCTGCCCCATGTCCTCAACAGATAATGCTCTGTCATTCACCTAGCTTGACTAACTGCCATTGTCACTAAACATTCTCACTATTGTTTTGGTGGGGAAGGGGGCCATGTCAAGGGTTGGGGAGGGTACCCTAAGCTGGTAATGGGAACAGAGTTATTGAATCGTTAAAGACCAAATAGTGCTAGGGATTAAGTGATGTGTTGAAGACATGATTTTTGCAAGGTTGCACATTTTTCACATAACCAGGATATGCATTATAATAGACTGTTTCAGTCGAACCAGCATGCAAGAATAACAAAGAGTGATATTTATTAACCATGTACATCTTTTACCCATGAGCCATTTATTGCACTGCAAGTTCAAGTGAGTGAGTGGGTGGGTGAGGTTTGGGTTATAATGCTATTGTGAACATGCTGAAAAGTACTTCCATTGTATTGTGTCTGTCTGTGTTATTGTTAAAGTCAACACTTAACAATATTCTAGCTATATGAAGGCAATCTGTATGTAATCCAGTCTGGACTAGACAATCCAGTGATTGATATTATGAGCAAGCACATGAACCATCTGGGTATGATGGAGTGTTCCCACTGGCTTTTGAAACTGGCAGTCCTGGTGGACTGGCGACTCTAAAAATTATCAGTCCCCGCTAATTTTTGCCAGTCCCAAATTTTTCACCATATAAAATAATGTATGAAAATTATTTGGTTTTAATTCTTTCAACATCATGTTCAGTGCAAAGCTGTCATCTCTGAAGTAACTTACATTGTTTACGTCTTTCACACAAACTTGGATATTTAACCTAGAAATAGACAAGTGGAAACCCTGATGGTAACAGACAAGCTGACTTTGTTCGAAAAATGTACTTAATTGAATATCACCGATGTTTTGTTCAACAACAAAGATTTATAAGGTACTTTATTTGGCAGTCCACAGGGACTGGCAGTCACATGAATTACCGGTCCAAGCCTAATTTTACCGTTAAAAAATATGGTAATTACCGGTCAACGGGAACGCTGTGATAACATGTCATCAACCAAGTGACCAAGTCTGACCACCCGATCCATTGAGCTGCCTGTTACAACCAGCACAGGTTGGTAGGGATCATCTATAATCCGGAGTGAGTGAGTATGGTTTTACGCCGTTTTTAGCAATATTCCAGCAATATCACGGCGGGGGACACCAGAAATGGGCTTCACTCATTGTACCCTTGTCGGGAATCAAACCTGGGTCTTCGGCGTGACTAGCGAACACTTTAACCACTAGGCTACCCGACCGCCCCTCTATAATTCGGAATCCCCATGGGCGGGTACTATGTTATTGCAGCTTGTCAGATGAATATTAGAGCAAAGCCAAAACTGATGCAGGGCGGAGACATTAATGACTTTGATAAAACCAATCAGCAAAAGCATTGTGCTTACGGCCCAATGATCATAATTAGGGCAAATCTGATAATCAAACACACAACTTCAGATCCTGGCATACCTAAGGGATGCAACTCAGCAGAGCAATTGCAGATACTTAGATAACTGGGCCACCTTGATGTGTTGCAAAGTTAGAGGAAAAATGCTTGTCTTGAACAAGTGATTTAATGGATCCCTGGACCATATTATTTTCCCTTCCACCGAGCCCTTATTATAACACCGCATCTCTAAATCAAGGAAACTAGATTTTCCACAGTAATCTCCCATTTCACAAGTCTCCTTTTCAATTCAAATGGAGTTGTATATTTTCGGGGACGAAGCATCAGTCTAGGCAGGGCCTGAGGGTAGGGGATGAACTGCTCACCTCACAGGAGTGCTCCCTTGCCCCCCAGGGAATCTGGTCACAGCTACAATTATCATGACGGTCAGACCTTTAAGTTACAGCTTTTAATGATAGTTTAATGGTTATGCTTTCACACTGAGTAGAGGTAAGTATTTGACACTAGATTTTCCACTGTAATCACCCATCTCAATGGGCCTCCTTTTCAATTTCAATGGAATTTCTTGTTTCTATCAAAAATGTATATTTACAGAGACTAATAATTCGTTACAGTTAAATCCATGCAATGGCGTTATCAAGACTACATGTAACTGATATTAAACTGTAAACTGAAAGAAATGACCTTACACCTTTAATTCAGCTGGGCGCCACATGGTGACACATGGTGACATGCTGTATTGGCAACTGTGTCATTGTTTGTCATCCACCTGTGTCGAACTTGCTGAATATCCCTGTTATAACCACACAACTGTCGCTTAATGATAAGAATAATACAGGGCACACCCTTTAATGATCATAGCCAAATCAATCACTATAAATGGGCTTAATCCAATAGAGTATTCCATCAATACTGGATTGTAATCAGCCAATGTTGGATATCAACACCTTGAATTAATGCATATTTATCAATTATTGATTATGACATTCGGACTGTGGAATAACAAATGACTGCTGTTCCTACCTACAACATGGTCAGGTTGTTAGCAAGTGTGTAGGCTTACTCCATTGTTTTATCTACCACAACCACCTCAGGACATTTAACAAATGAAATAATGGGTAGGGTAGTTCCAGTTATCAAAACTATGAGTTCTGAAGTTGAGGCACTGGACAGATATACTTTGGCACATCTTTGTGCTCTGATAGGCAACATTCAGCACCAGGCCTACACTAAATGATGGTAATAATTCCAAAATTGGAATCTAAAAAGGATATAATATTCATAATGATGTCTTAGCAGCTTTGCAAAGAGATGTTTCAGGAGGTGATGATGAAAGAATGATGAAGAGAAAAGAGTCTTAATAGTATGCATTACGCTTTCAAATTTTACGAAATTAAGTACTCTAATATGTTTCAAATTTGGCTGATGTTTTTTTAACATTTTGTTTAACATCCCAGATCAATTCCTGTGTAACTACATCTAGATTATGACAGAGTGAGAGTGCATGCGTTTTATTCCGCATACAGCTACCTGTATATCTGATGGCCAGGTTTTATTTTGGGCATGGAACAAACCAAACAGACTCCTTATGAATTTGTGACTTAAACATTTTCAATCTGAGCACTGCATTTGAAGTGTAATTCTGTCTAAGAATATGGATTATTATTAGGATGATCAGTTAGATAAGACAGACAGAAACTTGGCTCAGGCTGAGGACTGAAGTCACAGATTGAGATAATAATAATTTTTTATTTATTATGTTCTTTAACAGTATAGCATAGTTAATATTTACAATGCAGGCAACTATGCTTGTCGTAAGAGGCGACTAACAGGATCGGGTGGTCAGGCTCGCTGACTTAGTTGATGCATGTCATCGTATCCCATTTGCCTGGATTTATGCTCATGATGTCAATCACTGGATTGTCTGGTCCAGAATCAATCATTTACAGACCGCCGTCATATAGCTGGAATATTGCTGAGTGCAGCATTAAACAACAAACAAACAAACAAAACAAAGCATAACCTCCATTGGCATGGATAGTATTCTGGCATCGAAAGTGCTGAATAAGCAGAAAACTACTGAGTGGTTCATAGTTCTTGTGGTATGGAGAACAATATTTACCCACAAACTAAAGAGTATATCTACAGAGTTGCCAACATGTAAACATTACCTATCCCTAGTCATGGTATAAAGTAGTTATAACATGACCAATATATCCTGGAAAGAGTTGGATGTTTCTGGACAGAACTCAAATCAAATCAACCATATTAGTTTTAACAGCTCGTACTTGGTGTTATAATTGGTAACTGTAAGTGAAACAGTGAACCAATGCGGCCTGTCATCTGTGAACAAATTCTACTGCACACAGCTGTATACAGCAGTGCTATCACTAGGTTGAACACACTTTATCTGTGTCACAGGTTACTGGGGAACTGGCTGGTTCAATAAATGAGCGTGACTTACCTTATAAAGCTTTGAAGGCAAACATCACAAAATCGGTGTCCACAGGAGCTAATGAAGACTGGGTCTCTCATGGGCAGACGACACAGTGGACAGAAGCATCGTCTGTGTAATTTGTCAGCAAACATCTCAGTAAACCCAGTCATCGCTTGACAGTATCCACGCTGGGGGGCAGTCCAACAACAGCTCACACGTTTCATGTAAAAGAAATTCACTTGCCACTAATCGCTGTCGACCGACATCAAAACGGGCTAATATCCACTGAATATGACATTGTATATTTGTCGTCTGCTACACCGCGTGGATCACAGCTGGCTTGGATATCGTCTGCGTATTGATTGAGCAGACGAGTTTATGAACGGCGGTTGTAAGATTGTATCACGTGACAAACATCGGCGCGTGCACTGGACCGTAAAGTCCATGGAAGATTATAACAGCACTTCCTTTACAATTAGAATATAAGCTTGGGTTGCAATTAACGTTTTGGACATAGCAACGCCATAGAAGTCCCTTAAATCGCCATGCCGTCCGTCACACGACTGACGATTCGATCATAATCGTCGGGACAGGTATCACCCACCTCTTCAAATTATCCCCGATTCTGTTACTTCAAAAGACCCATCCTGTCTTCCGCAAAGCTGCATGAATCAGACCCTAGTGATTGTCGTGGACTGTTTTCTTCGCTGACTTTCACCGCGCACAGGTCCCGTTGTACTATTTCCTCGTCACGTGAACATTTCCTTGATTAAACCTCGGGCATTTATCAAACCGATCGTGACAGAAAACACACGCTGGACACGATTACAAGTTAACTATCTACAAGGAAAGACATACCGAAAAACATACAACACCGTTGTATTACAATCAGTAACTATAGTCACAGATCTATGTATACACACACACCTTCGAATTCGCCACCCGCCCACCTCGAAAGCAGTTATGCGACTATGCAGCGTGCGTAGAGTTGAGAGTATAGTTTCAATGAGCTCAAGAGATAAGTTCAATGTCGTTCACCGCGTACGCCGATCTCCGCTCAGCACGTACCGCATCTTGCTTTAGTAATCATTAACCGCAGGAAAAAATACAAACGTGAGTTGGAGTGAATAGCGTTACCTGGAGAAAGGATAATCTGTTCTGCATGTACAAGACGGAATGTTGGATAATGACTTCACGTGAGGAGTGTGTATGCGTTGTCACAAAAACAACGTCAAGAAGTTTGGAGAAAGGAAGCCTGGCACGATCTCATACCTGAGCCTTTTTATCGTTTCTAAATAGGACAATGAACTTTTTATTGACATGTTTACAGTCATCTTTATCTATTTCAGGACAAAAACCTGTAGCATAAAGACATCAAGTGTTGATCAGAGGCAGAATAGCATTCACAAGCATTGACAAGCATCCATTGCTTGTGTTAATAAAAACTTAACTAATGATTGGGTGGTTAGGTAATAACCTATATGATAGCAGTCTCTACATAATAGATGGGTCAAACAAACAGGTGACTGATATCATGAGCAACGTCAACTCAACTCAACTCAGTCACCGATCCATTAAGTCGCCTCTTACGTCCATGACATACAGATTGGTGGGGTCCAATTCTAACCCTTAATCCCCCACGGACCTTGGGTGGTTGATTTTGTTTGTTTGTTTGTTTGTTTGTTTGTTGTTTAACGCCGCACTCGACAATCGGGTGGTTGTAGTAGCAGTAACCGTATCTGGGTGCGGTTCCCTATAATCGATTTTGGTATTGATTTGTGACAAGCGACATAAAAAAAGAAATTAAGGAGCGTCTCACTAGTCAATATCAATCGTTTATATGGGGCAGCACAGAGATACGGCTACCTCCGCTTGGGTGCTTGGTACTTGGTTGTTTAACGCCGTAAATATTTCGGCGGTCTATAAATAATCGAGTCTGGAGCAGACAATCCAGTGATTGGCAATATGAACATCGGTTTACGCATTTGGGATACGATGGTATGCACCAAACAAGTCAGGAAGCCTGACCACCCGATCCCGTCAGTCGCTTTTTACGACAAGCATGGGTTTCTGAATATGGAGACCATTTCTAACCCGAATCTTCATGGGTCGGTTGGTACTTGTGTAATTGCTTGTGTGTTACAGCGATAGAAACTAACAGTTTAGTCCACTAGTCCTTATAATGATAACACATAAAAAAAACACACATAAAAATGGCAAATTTCTACTAGTCCTTATGATACTTTCACTATTGGGCAGTTTGGCAAGGACTACAGGACTAGTGCCAATTTCTAACGCTGTGACACCCGTGAATATTCCGGGGTAGAACAGGTCTCCAGCAACCCATGCTTGTCGTAAAAGGCGACTAACGGGATCGGGTGGTCAGGCTCGCTGACTTGGTTGATGCATGTCATCGATCCCAATTGCGTGGATCGATGCTGATGATATCAATCACTGGATTGTCTGGTCCAGAATCGATTATTTACAGACCGCCGTCATATAGCTGGAATATTGCTGACAAACCAACCAACCAAATCTAGCTGTGTTATCGTACCCAGATAGCATTGATCGGTGATCATGCTGTCACCGTTCTTTCCTGTCCCGGGCTCGATTACATTGCAAGCTGTTGCCATACAACTGAGTTTCTGACTCTAGCGTAAAACAACATTCAGTCAGTGAAATCATAATACCATGGAAATAGCCACCTGGGAAAGGAGCTGGGTTAAAATATCTCAGATAAATAGGTTTGTACAATGGTAGAATTCTTGACATGCAGGATAACGACAACGGATAAAGATGGTATTCGTTGAGTCATTTACCGATAAATATGCAAATTAACTAGGTCAAGTAGGTACTACTTCCAGTGTTTACAAACAAACATGGCGTCGCCTTTGTCTATCGGCGATCGTGTTAGTCAGATTTAATCATCGAGATTTGGAAATATTACCGTAATTATTTATCCAAATAATGGTCAATGATACCGAAAGCCTTTATGTCTGTAAATTGAAAATGCGTCTTATCAGTGTGAAGACGAACCTGATTTTATTAACAGGTAAGACCCGTGAAGATCCGGGTTATACAATTGGTCTTCAGCAACCCATGCTTGCCGTAAAAGGCTTAATGGGAATCGGGTGGTCAGGCTCGCTGACTTGTTTGATGCATGTCATCGTATCTCACTTGTGGAGATCGATGCTCATGATGTAATTCACTGGATTGTCTGGTCCAGACTCAACTGTTTTCAAACCGCTGTCATGTAGCTGGAATATTGCTGTCATGTACCCTGGAGTACAGGGTTAGACAACAAACAAACAAAATATTTTAAAGGATGGTCCAGACGTGTGTTAAACAGATGCTATGTACAAATTCTTATTGTACAATGTATGTACAAATTCTTATTTGCAGACCGCCATCATAATATAGCTGGGGTATTGCTGAGTGCGGCGTTAAACAACAAACAAACAAACGATATCAACAGTTAAACTGTTTTGTGAGGACGTGTTCCGACCATACGGTTCAGGCTCAGCTGATCAGTCAGTCAGCTCACAATGAGGCAACAAGTCGCGGGTTAAGCGCCACAACAGGTAAACATTCATCTAGGAATAAAACCTTAATTCCCGTCTTTGTTACCTACAGTTTGCTTTGAGGGATCTTAGGTCACATAAATAAATTACAAAAATCATTTAATACTTATGTAATAATCTACTTATGATTTAACAATTATTTATTATCTACCCACCATGTTCAGTTTTGATAAAGCGATTATACAGTATGCATTCAAGATAATCTGCCGACAAACGCCGAACGGAGCATTAACAGCTGGTGGTCGTACATGTGGAGAACCTCCGTGAATATCCGGGTAGAATTTTCAGCAGCAACCCATGCTTATCGTTAGAGGCAACTAACGGGATCGGGTGGTCAGGCTCGCTGACTTGGTTGATGCTTGTCATTGTATCCCAATAACGTAGATCGATGCTCATTGTGTCAATCACAGGATTGTCTGGTCCAGACTCGATTATGTACGCTGACCGCCTGCATGCATACAACTGTAATATTGCTGAGTGCGGCGTTCATCAACATACACACATGTGAAGTGCGCCACGGTGGTGTCATCAGTAGCCCCTGAAAAGATGCCATACTACACTCGACACTCGACACTCGACACTCACAGACAGCGACGCACAACTCACCTGTAGTCCGTCAACAAACATATTAGAACCCGTTTTTTAAAATTATTTTCCATTAAACACAAAATCACGCGACACAAGTTGGTTAATATTGAATAATAATCACTGAACAAACTAGAAATACCAGTTTTGTAATATTTTATGTTCGACTAAAACACTTTCTTCACTGTTATCGTTTGCGTTGAATACTCAAGGACACCGTGCATTATTTACTTGTCTCAGAGTTTCATTCAATGTTTTACAACACGTGAGACATACTTTTCATGGTATCCATGTATGTTATATATCAACTGATATGATTATGTGAAGAATTAGTGTTCGGTTAGACAACGTGTGTGGTGTTTTTCAAGTGTTAAAGCTCTCAAAGGGAACACAAAAAGCTTTTATTACGACCCTATGCTGTGTGTGCGTGCGTGCGTGCGTGCGCGCGCGTGTGTTTCAGGTGTGTGGTTGAGTGAGTGAGTATGGTTTTACGCCGCTTTAAAAATATTCCAGCAATATCACGGCGGGGGACACCAGCGATGGGCTTCAAACATTGTCCCCATGTCGGAAATCGAACCCGGGTCTTTGGCATGTCGAGCGAACGCTTTAACCACTAGGCTATCTGACCACCCCCCTAGTGGTTGAGACGTACGCTCGTCACGGAGAAGACCTGGGTTCGATTTCCAACATGGTACAATGTGTGAAGACCTTTTCTGGTGTCCCACGCCGTGATATTGCTGGCTATTTGCTGAACCTGGCATACTCACTCACTCACTCTGATATTTAGTAATGAGGTGGACAAGGATGAAAATCTAACCATTAATTTATCATAGCCTAACCCAATAGCACCTTAAGAAGCTCAAGACCTCCATCACGCTGGACACAAGTCTACAAACTGTGGATCGGGGCCCATCTGCGCAAAGCAATCTTAGTGCTAAGACTTTGTGATACTCCAACACTTCAACAGAGACACACAGCAGTCTTACGATACGCACTAACGTCGGTTTGTGCAAGTAGGCCCCGATGGTTCAAGCAGAACGCTTTGATCTTGGCTGATGGGTGTCGGGGGACCATGTTAAGGTTTAAGCCACCAACACTCCACGAACGTGCAGCACCGTCCCCGGGACACCCCCATCACGATGGCGTAGGGGGTGGGGCTGTGGGTGGCCATCGAGCAGGTCTGTTGGTATACATTCCCATGACATTTGACACAGCTGGTACGTGAAGCCGCCCTGCGGCAGGGAGACTAACATTTAATCCCAGAAATAAAGTTCTCTTATTTAAAAACATATATACAGTAAACTACGGTTATAACGAACTCGAAGGGACCACTAACTTTAGTTTGTTATAACCGTAGTTCGTTATACGCATATATACAGCATAACTATAGCAAATAGTCGGGACAAAAAAATCAGTTCGTTATATCCGTCAGTTCGTTATAAGCGTGTTCGTTATAAACGTACTTTACTGTATCTACAAAATAAAATAAAAATCCAAATGGAGCCCAGAACAATGCTTAATTTCGAGAGCTGAGGCAGTCTAGACTTGCCCAATCATTCTAGACTTGAGTTGGACTCATTTTGTAATAATTATTTATTCTCTAGGGTCTGGAAGACAAGGGCTAGGGGGAAAGAGTGAGTTGTGTTTAACGCCGCTTTATACAGTATTCCAGTTATATCATGGCGTGTCAGCTTAATGTGGGAGGAACGCCTGCAGTGATGCAGGTCTCAGACGTTTACCACTTTGGTAAAACCCACGAGCACCTAGAAACGTAATCGGGGCGAACCAGGATTCGAACCCACTGTCATAGGTTTATGATGTGCCTAAGGGACGCAACTCTGCACAGCGAATCGCGGCGCCCTAGAAACAGAACAGCAGCACGTTAACAGTAATTAGTAATGGCGCGCACAAATGTTGGGACATTTCTCTAAATTAGTGCCTTCTAGACCTTCTAGTCCTTGAGATTTGTGTTCCTTTTATAAACTCGTGGTTCCCTTGTAGAATGGACGCAACTCACAGGCCATCCCTGCCCTCACTGACCACATGGGAACCGTGAAGATCCGGGATCGAATAGGTCTTCAGCAACTCATGCTTGCTGTAAAAGGCGACTATGGTTGTCGTAAAAGGCGACTAACGGGATCGGTTGAAGCATGTCATCGATCCCAATTGCGAGGATTGATACTCATGATGTCAATCACTGGATTGTCTGGTCCAGACTCGATTATTTACAGACCGCCGTCATATAGCTAGGAAATTGCTCAGTGTGGCGTTAAACAACAAACAAACCAATATTCGCTCGGGAAAGATAATCTGCAATTGCTTACAGTTTGTTGGCTATTTTCGAATTCTGTGTGCGATGGATGAAGGAAGAGGGGGTCACTGCTTCAACTGTGGCACGTCGACGAGGAAGCGAGCATATGTTTTGTCTTATCTGCTAATATAGGTGACCCCATGTAAAACAGCACGTATACATAAAGATTATCACCATTACCTCCCAAAAACCTTGAATGTTTGTACTGTGGCTTAAAAAACATTATTCCCTCTTGTAATGGTTCCTTACTGCCAATTCATTTCTTTAGTGAAGACACGCCAGAAAATAACACCTAAATGTCTTGATGCCACACCCACAGAGTAGACACAGTTAAATTCTCCCGTGGGGATTCCGTGTCAGAATAGGTCCCCCAGTACCTCATGTTTGGCACAAGACCTGTCACCTGACAGATTGTGTGTCATCGTGTCGTTATGACGCAGATCTTTGTTCTCTCAGCCACCAACTGATATATTTATATATATATATATATATACCAGCCGCCGTAGTGCAACATTCGCACTCACAGCTGGATAGTGTGAAGTTGTTAAACGCCAGTCAACAACATTCCAAGTGTTTGACGGCGGTCTGAAAATAATCGAATCTGGACCAGACAATCCAGTGATTGACATCGTGAGCATCGATCTACGATCAATCAAGTCAGCGATCCTGACCACCCGATCCCGTTGGTCGTCTCTTACATCAAGGTTGCTGAAGACCTATTCTGACCCGGATCTTCACGGGAATTCTCCACTGGTACGACCACCACCCGTTTATCCAGTCAACGTGTGTGCGTGCGTGCGTGCGTGCGTGTGTGTGTGTTTGCTTGTACTAGCTTTGCTTATCCGGTCTGTTGCCGATTTTATAGTGCACAACCCACTAAGATACCATGCCGCAGGTTAACATGAATACTCCACACAGACACAGTATACTGACTCCGAGCCCACCAGTCCTTGTTTTAGCCCCTTAGTGCCGAGCGCCAGACAGGGTAACAATAAGTACCATCTTTTAACGTCTTTTGGTATGACGCGGCCGGGAATCGAACCACGAACCTTCCGTTCTCCGGGCTGACAACTTGTTCTTATTATTTATGTAATCTAGGAACGAGGAATTAGGAATCATTGTCTTAGAGACTTGTGCAAGTCTACTCCGTCCCCTACTGATTTAAGATCTCACCATCATATTTAAGCACATGCATCAGGCGTAGAGAGATATCAGTAAGAAAGTAGTTCCTCACTCCGGATCAGTACTTTGAGGTGGTGTCCTGTATCTAATGCCCAAAAGACTGGCCTGTGTCGTCTGAAGTAATAATTAAAATTAACCAGCGGTTTGATAGGGCACAGAAAATAGAAACACAAAGAAAAATCTATTGCTATGAATTTCTTTTAGTTGACTGAAGTCTATCATATCCAAGCGCGGATACAACAATTAAGAAAAGGGGTGCATTTAGTGATCGCTTTTACAGGGGCCGTTGTCTGTCGTTTTATTTTCAGTGAGTGAGTGAGTGAGTGCATTGTACTCACGTACCCGGAAATCAAACCCGGGCCTTCGGTAAAACCATATTCACTCACTCACTCCAGCAGGACAGGCAAATGCCCAATATAGCAATGTATGGACCTTTTACGTGCGCTTCATCATGCAGTACATATAAACGAAGCACTAGTAAAAGAACCTACCCTGAACGCGTGACAGAATAATGTGCTACTGTCTTCATATTGAGGCAATGCTTAATACACTAACGGGAAAAGTAACATATTCATGAAGACATTTCGACTGTAAGGTCATGTTTCACAATTAACACGTGCATGTTCACGCACGGCGCACAATTTCGATGATTGCGTGTTTGTTGGGAGCATGATATTCACACACGTGTTTTTAAAAAAAGTGAACAGCTGATTGTTTAGCTTTCAGGTGCTCATAAAAACACTTTTGTTTAACCGTCAACAATGACACGGCTAGCTAAAAAGTTAAGGTGTACGAGATGTGGGTATGCTTCAACCGGAAATGGCGCAAAACGAAGTTGCCAGACTGTTGCCGAAGTTGCCGAAGCGTTCATCGAAACACAATATTGTCTCTATATATGGAGACGCATCTGTGCCAGGGCAACACTCATGACTTGCTATTGGGATTTGTCAATGAAGTGAAACATTGATCAGACGAATGACGGCATATTGTGTTGTTAGTTTCAATAAAATAACATTTACGCCACTTTGTATGAAGCACAGCATTTTTCCGATAGTATATATCAACATCAGGGATTCGAACACATGATGAACCAGTGTGTCTTGACACTGCAAATAGGTTATACTTCTTCAGAGGTTCAAATACTTGTTACAACAACAACAACAACAACAACAACAACAACAACAACAACAACAACAACACTCAAACTAACATGCTTTACTATGTATAAGTGTTAGATGAATTAATTTACAATTACCGATAGAGAACAAAACATGGAAGCCTACACTTCTAGATTGCAGCTTATAAGGGTTAAACATTTGGAGATGAAATAATATTGTATAAGTTCTTTAAGGGAGATCTGAAAGAAATTGAAAATAGGAATTGACCATAAATGATAAACCATATCAAAACGTTATAAGGCTGAACATACAGTAAACTACGGTTGTAACGAACTCAAAGGGACCACTAATTTTAGTTCGTTGTAGCCACGGTTCGTTATATGCATATATACAGCATAACTACAGCAAATAGTCGGAACAAAAAAGTACATTTTCGTCATAAGCGTGTTCGTTATAACCATAGTTTACTGTAGTCGCGGAAGGGCCAAAACACAACTATGACACCCGTATAAATTACATCACCTTCGAATTACCATTCTTGTTTGTTTCATGTTTAGCCACCACCAAAGAAGGGGGTGTACATTATAGTGCTCGACAGGTATCATTTTGGAAAATGATAACCAGGAGATTACAAATGATCGTTTTTTGTCTATTTTGATATTCATAACATTGGTATTAGTTGTCTGATGATATTTACTCTCATTTGAGCGCTGGCATGTGACCAGTCCAGACCTGATTAACTTTGCAGCAATTCCATGGTCCATCGTCTCTGTGTCTGTGTCGGAAAGGCTACATGTAGTGCTGACTACATAATTATGATACATTATCTATCATTTGTGGGACCAAAATATACATTTTTGTATTGCAACCATATTGGTTTTGTATCAGCAGTGCATCTGAAAAGTATGCTGTCATAAATAATCTATCTACAGGAGAAATTTGTTCCTTGAACGTATTTTTCAATTTCGTGCACTGTTGCGTTTTTAACAATATTTGACGAATACATTTGTACAAAAATACTGAGTATCTTTTGAGTATTTTTGTAAATACTGCATATCAAGGGGTCTGGTGGGATTAATCTGTGGTTTCAAAGTTTTGAAATTAATAATTTTTTATACTGTACTTTTTAGTGGAGTTTAATCCTCATTTATGCCCAAAAATGTGTATAAATTGGACTACTTTAAACTTTCATAAGGTCGAAAATTGCCGTATAGATACTATATGTGTCTACTCTACATATCTACATACTACAAAGGGGCGGTCGGTAAGCCTAGTGGGTAAAGCGTTCGCTCGTCACGTCGACGACCCGGGTTCGATTCCCGATACGGGTACAATGTGTACAATATTGCTGAAATATTGCTAAAAGCGGCGTAAAACCATGCTCACTCACTCACTACATACTGCAACACTGATAGTGGAGAGTGAACGTAATGATCCATGTTCAGGGCTCATGAACGTGAAGGACTTGCCCTACCCCGGTGTACTTCAACACAGGGAGGACAGAAGGTTGGTGACGTCAGGCGTCAGTCTGGCGTTATGGCCTGACATGAGTTGACCTCTGACGTCCGACCACTGTGGGGACGCCAGCGCCATCATGACCCACATCGGCTTGTCCAGGTCCAGATCAGTAATAGACCGCACTATCCTGGCGTCAGCGACATCGACCATATGCATTTTCTTCTTGTCGTTGTCCAGTACGACACATAGCTGAAGATCACGTGATTCCCCAGCCTCGTTTTCGAGGAGGGGCTCATCTGTTAGAATTTTGCCGTCATAGATGACCTTGAGACAGAGTTGATCCTCGTGGTTTTCGCATGCTACTACGCAGACGCTCAGTCCATTTGATTTGAACCAGTCGGCATCGACAGGGGTACTAGTCAGAGCAGTCTCAAATATCATACTATTCTCCTTCGGAGCCTCAGTGATGGAGAATCTCACCTTCAGCTGGTACAGCGCGCACTGGCAGGGTTCAAGGGTCACAGGTTTAGAGGTCATCACGTGTCGACGCGCCTTAAGACGACTTCCGGTGTCTCGGAGAGGGGGTTCTGGTAGGACGTTAGTAACCATGGTTCCAGATACCGTGACGTCACTGCTTGCCGTGGTTGGATCCCACTCCAAAAACGGGGCTGCGCAGACATTGAGTTTATAATCACTGGTAAAGTTAGACAGTGACTGACTTCAAAACCACGTTGAACAATAATAAATTAACTGACGGGCATAAGAAAGCATACATTTGAAAATTGGATTTGATGGAAAAGTTACTGACGTTATCACAACGTTACTATGCTTGTCGTTAGAGTCGACTAAAGGGATCAGGTAGTCAGGCTCGCTGCCTTGGTTGATGCATGTCATCGATCCCAATTGCGTGGATCGATGCTCATGTTGTAAATCACTGGATTGTCTGGTCAAGACTCGATTATTTACAGCCCGCCGTCATACAGCTGGAATATTGCTGAGTGCGGCGTTAAAAAACAAACAAACAAACAAACAAACTAGGCTGAAAACAGTTGCCGGAACACTGCACACTTAAGGTCCAAAACACAACTATGATACCGCTTGAAATATATATACATCGCCATCGAATAACCATTTCTATTTTGTTTTATATTTTGCTACCTTCATACATGGGTGTATACTTTCCTTTTCCGGGCAGTTTCTATGTATATATGAGCCAATCGCTGATACGGGATATATATATAGTGCACACGGTGACAGAACGAGGGCACATGGTTAATTTACCGACATCAGCTGTCTATGTAGGTAAATCTTTAGCGAGTAGGTAACAATGTGATTACAGCTTCTGGATCGAATACTCACAGAAGACTCCTGCTTTCCCCCCGATGTATGCATCCTCGAAGCTGACTGGAAAACAAACAATACACTTCATACAATAAATCTATTGGATAAAAATTGATACAACTCATATATGTAAATGCTATTTCAGGCAAGTTTCACAACCTTGTCAATTTCTGGATAAAATAAGGTTTTCTGTGATGTTTCTTTCGGCTGGAGCGTTTCGCGATGAAACTTAGAATGGACAGGTGTACATTATGGCCAGCAAGTAATATATGATGAATCTCGTACTGTTAACGTTCCCCACATGTGAGGGTGAAGGTGAAATGGGGTTTAACATCGCATTCAAAATTGTTGCACTTATATAGCGACGTGCATGCACGTTGGAGTGTGGCTGCGTCTACTAGTCCGGACTAATGCCGATTTTGTAGTGCAAGCCCACTGAGATATCATACCGCAGTTTGACATGAATACCTCACTCAGACACAATATATTGACTCCGAGCCGACCGGTCTTTATTTTAGCCCCTTTATGCCCAACGCCAGCCAGGTTAACAACAAGTACCATTTTTTAACGTCTTTTGGAATGACGCGGCCGGGGATCGAACCCACTCTACCACTCTACCACTTGACCACATAGGCGGTCTTCACCACATGTCCATGGAGATGATCTTCTATGTATAAAAATGAAGTCCAGGTGGCCAGGCTCGTGTGTAGAGTTGCGTCCCTTATCAAATCCCCAAAACAAATGATCGTGGCTTGAATCTCAGATTTGCAGCACCATCACAATCCTCATGGGTTTATAAAACATGTCAACTGTGCCCTTCTTGCAGGCCCAGTCGCTTGTTTACTTACGCACATTAAATGACACTAATTCAAACAGGTTTAACCACTAAGACCTGCATTACATGGGGCTTTCCTCCCACATAACTGTTCAAAGCGGCCTTAAACTAAACTGACCGCCTCCGTGGTCTAGTGGTAGAGCGTCCGCCCGGAGAGCGGAAGGTCCGGGGTTCGATCCCCGGCCGTGTCATACCAAAAAACGTTAAAAGATGGTACTTGTTATTACCCTGTCTGGCGCTCGGCATTAAGGGGCTAAACACGGACTGGTCGGTTCGGAGTCAGTATTCTGTGTCTGAGTGGGGTATTCATGTTAAACTGCGGCATGGTATCTCAGTGAGCTAGGACTATAAATCGGCATCAGTCAGGACTAGTACAAACAGCGACACAAACACACACACGTACATGCAGTCGCTCTATAAGTTCAATAATCTTGGACGCGACGTTAAACACCATTTCACCTCACCTCACCTTAAACTAAACTCAACTCAACTCTAGTGTTTTCCCACTCCATGTATCACCTACCTTGTGGTATCTCCACTGGTGTCAGTGAGATGGCATTATACATGTCTGCCTCCTGCACATGCCTGGGCTTCTTTGTAGGGGAAAAGACAACCGATCTCACAAGCCCTGTCATCTGGATAGTAGAAGTCAGGTGGCTTGAGTTGGCCGGTACAAAGCTAACACCCGAACTTGCAAAGTCGACGTCAAGTGGCGTCTCTTCCAACACGGCGGTGAGCGAGGCGACCGAGGACGCCATCAGCTGCAGGTCCTCCGTCTTGTCGGCTTGTCCTCTGAGTTGTTTAATGTTCTGTGAAGATAACGTGACCCGGTTCAGAAGTATCCTATTCGATTCCAAAGCGTCTTCAGTCAGCACCAGATTCGCGTTTGACTTATCTTCGACATCGGAAAGAATCACAGCTCTCCGCAGTTTCAGCTCTTCGAATAGTTTATCAAATGTGGTCAAGATCTCCCGCCTTGCTTCTTGTCTAGCCGTGACGATTCTGTCAGCAGTTTTCTCCAACATTCCAACTTTCTTCTCCAGACTCCAAGCCTTGTCCTCAAGCTGAGTCATATTTTCTTCTGTGACCAGGGCCTTGTCTTTATGAGCGTCCGCTACAGGGACTACGGTGTGTCCTTTTTCTTTGTCGTGATCTTCAACAGTACAGGACACACAGATGACTACGTCGCAGGTCTTACAGAAGAAGTTTTGGGAGAGATGATGCTCACTGCATTCATGTCGGACCCGGAATCCGTCCAGAGTGCTTCCTTTCAGCTCCTCTAACGTCATAACCTTGTGTTTGAGGAAATATTTATTTCTGGCATGGGCGCTATGACATTCCTTGCACAGACACACACAACATTCCTCACACCTGAACACGGCGTACTGGTTGTCAGGGCAGTCCATGCACGGCAGACGACTTCCGGTCCTGATCTTCTCTTGCTCCATGAGCTTGTGTATGAGAGTATCCGGGGGTAGGGAGGTCACGCCGTGGGGTAGATGATGTCGTTGACGGCACACGGGACACTGCAACGTCCTTTCAGCGTAGTTGTCCAGGAGACACAGTCCGCACACAGACTGGAGACAGCACGTCAGGCGATGTGGAACCCTGGACTCGCCAAACAGCCGGAAACATACAGGGCACTTGATTAGAATACTTCTGAGTGTCAACGAGTTTAAGACGTCCGTCATGGTCTTGTGTGTACCACAGACATATGTTTCTGAGTATACTGTACGAGACCAACGTTCAACGACAAAGCAGATATTTGATACCCGCAACTTAGTCGAACAATGGGCCTTCAATTGATGTCATCAATGTTGAAAATGCAGTTTAGCTTCTTTAATGTATAAAGTAATATGATACACATTGGATGTCATCACAAATACTTCTTAATTAATTAAATATAAAGTGCACGTACATGGATTAGTGGGAATGAATAGCAGACTGTTTTATTTCTGTTGGTCCCTTGGGATAAAGTGTTAGGATGAGCGTAAAGGCAGTAGAATACTTTCTGAAGCAGAACGCTGAATATAATGACCAAGAGTGAGGCTGTGCTCAGCTGTAGTCACGTGACGTTAATAGTGTCATGTACCATTTCCATTACAAATGGAGGACACAAATGGACCAGTCCAGGGCGCTCCATTACAAATGGAGGACACAAATGGACCAGTCCAAGGCGCCCCATTACAAATGGAGGACACAAATGGACCAGTCCAAGGCGCTCCATTACAAATGGAGGACACAAATGGACCAGTCCAAAGCGCCCCATTACAAATGGAGGACACAAATGGACCAGTCCAAGGCGCTCCATTACAAATGGAGGACACAAATGGACCAGTCCAGGGCGCTCCATTACAAATGGAGGACACAAATGGACCAGTCCAAAGCGCCCCATTACAAATGGAGGACACAAATGGACCAGTCCAAGGCGCTCCATTACAAATGGAGGACACAAATGGACCAGTCCAGGGCGCTCCATTACAAATGGAGGACACAAATGGACCAGTCCAAGGCGCTCCATTACAAATGGAGGACACAAATGGACCAGTCCAAGGCGCTCCATTACAAATGGAGGACACAAATGGACCAGTCCAGGGCGCTCCATTACAAATGGAGGACACAAATGGACCAGTCCAGGGCGCTCCATTACAAATAGAGGACACAAATGGACCAGTCCAAGGCGCCCCATTACAAATGGAGGACACAAATGGACCAGTCCAAGGCGCTCCATTACAAATGGAGGACACAAATGGACCAGTCCAAGGCGCCCCATTACAAATGGAGGACACAAATGGACCAGTCCAAGGCGCTCCATTACAAATGAAGGACACAAATGGACCAGTCCAAGGCGCTCCATTACAAATGGAGGACACAAGTGGACCAGTCCAAGGCGCTCCATTACAAATGGAGGACACAAATGGACCAGTCCAAGGCGCTCCATTACAAATGGAGGACACAAATGGACCAGTCCAAGGCGCCACAATTCGCTGTACCAGAAACCCGTACGCGTGATCGTGGGTTCGAGTCCCAGATCCGCCCTATGTTTCTGGGTTTGTCAGCACCATGCCCGTGCTCGTTGGTTTCACCAAAGTGGTAAATGTCTAAGACCTGCATCAATTCCGGCTTTCCTCACACATTTTGTAAGCTGACACGCCGCGATATAACTGTTCAAGGCTGTTTAACGCACTTATTGCAGCATGTGTATATACATTTCTGAACTTATCAGACTAGAACTGTTTTAGTTTCATTTTATTGATAATTTGACCTGGGATTTGGTATCGAGATGAGATATTTGTTTAGCTACAGCTGCAAAACCAGACATGTTCTTTTTATTTAAGACTATGAGCCTGAATTATTTTAAGTAAGACATCTTGCAACAATGTGATTTTTGTGGCAGGCAATTTCTTTTTTTTCCCCAGAATTTTCGGGGACATTTGATTTTTCTCTCCATAAAATCCCGTAAATAAATGATGCAACATTTGGCATTCTATCCTTTATTCCTGATATTTGTGTACAATATTTACATACAGCAGAGGTATCGGGTACTACAATAACAGTATTTATGCACACAAATACCTATCTTGATCTGACTTCACCGATGCAGTTCTTCAAATATTCAAAGCAGTAATGGCTTGTGGTTTGCGACACCTGTTCCCGTAAACGTGACACGAACCGCTTCACCGCAGATTAAAATCGAACCATCCATATTTGACTAGATAGGTATACAATGTCTCCGACTAACGGGTACGCCATCAGACGCACCCACGCCGTGACCTGTGGCACGTTCAACCGAGTGTAGCCACCTGTGCGGTAGGCGGGATTCCGGCATCGTTAAGTGTCCAGTCACGATCAATACACTTTTCATCTGCAAAGTGTCATTATTAACTATTTAGTTGTCTATCCTCCTGGGCTTTGTGATGTCAGGGTACTTGGGTACTGTTAGGTGAGGTTAAACGGTGTTTAATGTTACGTTCAAGTGAGTGAGTGAGAGAGTTGGGTTTAACGCCGCTTTTAACAGCATTCCAGTTATATCACGGCGTGTCAGCTTAATGAGGGAGGGAAGCCCGAAGTGATGCAGGTCTCAGACGTTTACCACTTCGGTGAAACCCGTATGCTGACAAACCTAGAAACATAATCGGGGCGAACCGGGATTCGAACCACAATCATAGCCAAGGGACACAACTCTGCACAACGAATCGCGGCGCCTTAGACGATTGGGCCACCCGTGCCCCCTACGTTCAAGGTTATTGCACTTGCACGCTGTTGTATTTAGCTACTATGGCGGACGTCGACTCCGTGGCATTGCCTTGGCACACTTAGAGTTAAACTAAACAACACAAATAGTGCAGCTGGCTTTGCTTTATTAACTGTTTGTCGATTACATAGTTGCATGCGACACTTAGAATTATTTAGATGGTTTATACCACTTCTAGTAGTTACATACCACGGAGTCGGTCTGTAGGTACTGTGGGCTGGTGATGCTATAGTGAGTAAGTGAGTGAGTATGGTTTTACGCCGCTTTAAGAAATACTCCAGCAATATCACGGCGGGGGACACCAGAAATGGGCTTCACACATTGTACCCATGTCGGGAATCGAACTCGGGTCTTCGAACGCTGTAACCACTAGGCTACCCGTTCGCCCCAGGTGATGCTATAGAGAAGCTGTGTTGTGACAGGGACTGTACTGAAGGGATATCCGGAGAGGTGAATGAATTGAGCGATGTGTGTGTGTGTGTGTGTGTGTGTGTGTGTGTGTGTGTGTGTGTGTGTGTGTGTGTGTGTGTGTGTGTGTGTGATGTATGTTTGTGTGTGATGTATGTTTGTGTACAAAGCGCATGTGGGTATTTGAGGACATCAGAGGTGAGATTTGTTTGACATCAGAGGTGTGATCTGTTTGACATCAGAGATTGGAACAGTTTTACATGAAAGATTTTGACATCAGATGTGAGAGCTGTTGATAAGTGAGTATTATTTTTACGACGCTTTCAGCATTATTCCAGCAAAATAGTGAGTGAATGAGTTTGGTTTCATGGCGCTTTTGACAATATTCCAGTTATATTATATCACATCCGTGTCCCCAAGCAATATAATAAAAGTAGAGGCCGAGAATTGGTTTCATACACTGTACTGTTCTCATGTCGAACCCGTTCTGCTACATGGTTCCTATTTATGTGACGTAATCGATGTAAGTATTTACCAACTGGAGTATCTATGTCTGGCACATATACTACTCAAAAGAAGTTAAAGACCACCCGACTCTTTCATATGACGAAGTTAATCTGACATGGCCCCTACTATAATATGTTAAGGACCATCCGATTCTCCCTCCCTCTCTTTCTCTCTCTCTCTCTCCCTTTCTCCTCTCTTTGTCCCACTCTCCCTACCTATCTCTCATTCTCTCCCTCTCTCTCCCTCTCTCATTCTCTCTGTCTCACCTCTCTTTCTCCCTCTCTCATTCACTCTCTCTCCCTTTCTCTCTGTGTATCTCCACCACCTCCACCCCCACCCCCCACCCCCTCCCGGCCCGTTATTCTGTCATGGCCCCTACTACACTCTGTTAAGGACCATCCTATTCTCTCTCTCTCTCTCTCTCTCTCTCTCTCTCTCTCTCTCTCTCTCTCTCTCTCTCTCTCTCTCTCTCTCTCTCTCTCTCTCTCTCTCGCCACCCCCACCACTCACTCACTCACTCACTCACACACAGATGACGACGTTAACCAGTCAGTCTCGTGTAACCTCGTGAGTTCACAAGCATCATGCTGGGAAACGCGCATGTCGGTCGACACATCAGCTGTCGACACGGTAACACCGACTGACAATGCTATGCGTATTTTACGTGCGCTTCTGAAACTCACGACCTCGTTGACAACGTTTGGCATGTTTATTTGTTTGTGTTTGTTGTTAAACGCCGTAAATGTGTTTGTTTGTTTTTCAGTCACCAATATTTCAGCTATATTACGACAGCCTGTAGATAATAGAGTTGGACCAGGCAGACAATCACTGATACTCTGAGGAGCAACGTCCCACAGTCGGGTTCAAAGAAATAGTTCCAAGTTACCGAGTCTCATCACCTGATCCATGTCATTGCGCGTACTACAAGTATAGGGCGCTAGGGTCAAGTTCTACCCCGGAATTCTCGCGGCGCGTTCAGTATGAGGAGAGAGGGGAGAAGTATGATGTTCCAAAAGGATGATGCCTCACATATCGCTTGCTCTAACACAGTGACTGTCTTACCATGTCTCCAACTCATGTTAAACCCCAAATGCTTGTGGTGCGAACATGTAAAACACGAAAAGCTTGTGGTGCGAACATGTTAAACACGAAAAGCTTGTGGTACCAGCATGTTAAACTCTAAATGCTTATGGTGTGAGCATGTTAAACCCCAATTGTCTGTTGTACGGGCATATTAAACCCCAAATGTCTGTTGTACGGGCATGTTAAACCCCAAATGTCTGTTGTACGGGCATGTTAAACTCCAAATGCTTGTGGTGTAAGCATGTTAAACCCCAAATGTCTGTTGTACGGGCATGTTAAACTCCAAATGCTTGTAGTGCCAGCATGTTAAACCCCAAATGCCTGTGGTACGAGTTTGTTAAACCCCAAATGCTTGTAGTGAGAGCATGTTAAACCCCAAATGATTGTAGTGCCAGCATGTTAAACCCCAAATGCTTATAGTGCCAGCATGTTAAACCCCAAATGCTTATAGTGCAAGCATGTTAAACCCCAAATGCTTATAGTGCCAGCATGTTAAACCCCAAATGCTTATAGTGTCAGCATGTTGAACCCCAAATGTCTGTTGCACGGGCATGTTAAACTCCAAATGCTTGTGGTGCCAGCATGTTAAACCCCAAATGTATGTTGTACGGGCATGTTTAACTCCAAATGCTTGTGGTGTGAGCATGTTAAACCCCAAATGTCTGTTGTACGGGCATGTTAAACTCCAAATGCTTGTAGTGCCAGCATGTTAAACCCCAAATGCTTGTAGTGCCAGCATGTTAAACCCCAAATGTCTGTTGCACGGGCATGTTAAACTCCAAATGCTTGTGGTGCCAGCATGTTAAACCCCAAATGTATGTTGTACGGGCATGTTTAACTCCAAATGCTTGTGGTGTGAGCATGTTAAACCCCAAATGTCTGTTGTACGGGCATGTTAAACTCCAAATGCTTGTAGTGCCAGCATGTTAAACCCCAAATGCTTGTAGTGCCAGCATGTTAAACCCCAAATGCCTGTTGCACGGGCATGTTAAACTCCAAATGCTTGTGGTGTATGCATGTTAAACCCCAATGGTCTGTTGTACGGGCATGTTAAACTCCAAATGCTTGTGGTAAGGCCATGTTCAACCTCGGATTCGTGTGGTACCAGCATAGTAAACTCCAAATGCCATGGTACGAGTTTATTAAACCCCAAATGCTTGTGGTGTGAGCATGTTAAACTCCAAATGCTTGTGGTGTGAGCATGTTAAACCCCAAATGCTTGTAGTGCCAGCATGTTAAACTTCAAATGCTTATAGTGCCAGTCTGTTAAACCCCAAATGCCTGTGGTACGAGTTTATTAAACCCCAAATGCTTGTAGTGAGAGCATATTAAACTCCAAATGCTTGTAGTGCCAGCATGTGAAAGCCTAAATGCCTGTGGTACGAGTTTGATAAACCGAAAATGCTTGTAGTGCGAGCATGTTAAACTCCAAATGCGTGTAGTGTCAGCCTGTTAAACCCCAAATGCCTGTGGTACGAGTTTGTTAAACCCCAAATGCTTGTAGTGAGAGCATGTTAAACCCCACATGCTTATAGTGCCAGTATATTAAACTCCAAATGCTTGTAGTGCCAGCATGTTAAAGCCCAAATGCGTGTAGTGCTAGCATGTTAAACCCCAAATGATTGTAGTGCCAGCATGTTAAACCCCAAATGCTTGTAGTGAGAGCATGTTTAACCCCCAATGCCTGTAGTGCCAGCATGTTAAACCCCAAATGCTTTTTGTGTGAGCATGTTTAACCCCAAATGTTTTTTTTGCGTGA